TATCCTGAGAATCTGTAAATTCAAGAGATTGAAGCTTCATAGAGAATGTGATTGCTTAAAGCGACGAGGACAATTAGTGGTGTTTTCATTATTTTTTCATAGGCGGTTTGTGTAAAGGTAAATATGAAAGATAAATTTATCTCACATCGGTAACTAGAAAGGTTTCAGTCATAACCTTTTGGGTATAAAAAGGAAGCTGAGTCCATCTTTCAATTCGTACTTTTTCGGCTAAGATCAAAGTGTAGTATCTGTTCTTATCAGTTTAATACCTGATAAGTGGTGTTATAATGCCCACATGATATTAACTCTATTTCTTTAGGGTGAAAGCCTATGCTAGCTATCTACCAAACATGAGTTCCGACTTTTTCACTATCTATAACAGCTTAGAATTTTGTCCGAATAATTACAACCTGTGCTATTCCAGTGTCCCACATCGATAATATGATACAAAAGACTTGTTATATATTAGTCTCAAAATGTCATTGGACGAATTGAATCGGTCACGTTACTGACTCAGGAAAGTACACGGGCCTTTTGTTCGCTGAAAGGCGGCCACTTTGACGAGCGGATCATTCAGTGGGGATATTCAATTTAGCTGAGACGCGTGTGTGTAGCTGCTGCTGCTGAATGATAACATGGCCGTTCCATGACACAGTTATTCACTTGGTTCTTCATTGAAGCTCAACATAACGGGTCTTACGTCCAATGACAACAATTTTTTGCAGTAAAAAAGCTTCATTTTATTAAGAAAACGGTGTTGGACTCTCTTTATTGGGAGAGCCAATGCGTAGGAGAAAGTGACACTTATTACTCTCGTTTATTTAGTAAGACGATCGGCACAAACATTTGACGTACTGTAATTCATTATTATGAATATGATTGAATATCTGATTCATAAAGAGAAATCCAGAATAGGATCAAAACACACTCACAAGAAATTGATGGAACAGAGATTTTTTCCCCCCAAAATTCTTCCTCGCATGTCTAACGTATTGAGAAATATTGGTAATTTGATGTAATGCAATAGTGAAATATTGGTTACCAAAAAATTAAATGAAAACTCTCACGAAGTTTCGAACAGTATAACAAAGTAGAAATTACAAAATAAATAAAAAATGAAGATACACACTCGTGTTTACATTTCTTACCTGAATTGCATAAACAACATTTTCTTCTCTTCTACAAGTAACATATTTTTTTATAAATATATAGCATCAACATATAAGCCACCCAAACTGTTGAACACTCTCAATCTTCTAATATGGGTTTTCTCGATTTAAGAAACATGGCTTCTTCTCTTGGAATTCGAATTCTGCAACAATAACATATTATATATACTTAAGTAGAATATATTTTGATGCATAATATTTGAAATTTTCAAATCTTCTGGACACATACCAGTTTACTGTAGTCGTGATCCTTGGAACCATCGCGTTTTGCGTACTTGGGTTTGTTTGAGCTTTCGCTGACTTGGGGAACATACGGGAAAGATGTTGGTAGCAAGACAAGTCCATGATCCATGTCGAAAGCGTTGGCTCTTAATCGCAAGATCACTTGCGTAAGAGCTTTCATAGCGGCATCAGGATTTCCTGTAATCTGACCACATCAACACGAAACATTGGCTTAGTTTTACAGCAAAAAGGGTTTAATAATACAATCCGGGTCTGTGTTTTAATTACCTGAACCATCTCTTCATCTTCACGGGCAATTTTTGGTACATCTTCCTTTTGAAGAATACGGATATTTGCTCGTGTTACACTCCTCATCTCAGATATAACAGCTCCACCTTTTCCAATGAGACACCCGATTTGGGAACTCGACACAAGTAAACGAGTGGTGAGTGTTGAATCATTCGAATCTTTATCAACTTTCTCACTGCATCGCTGTTGTAAACGTATGGCTGCATTCACCGCTGGAGACTGATCTTCGTAGAACTATACACAAGTAAAGTCGGTCAAAGACTTGCGTGTTTAAAAATGACATTTTTGTATGTGATATATTATAGAGATTCGAATTACCTCTTTTGATGATATGAAAATTATGCAATCATCCTCATCAGTTTCAGAGGTATTGACTCTAATCGTAGCACCAGTTTCTTGCCTGATCTGATTAATGAAACCACCTCCTTTTCCTATAACACCTCCAACATTTTCAGCTGGACAGAGGAAACAAACACAAAACTCCCTTGCATCCGCCAAATCTCTGCGTGCAGCGTAGTTTCTGTGCGAGCTCGTTAATGGTGCACACATCAACATTCCCCCGGGTTGATGCATTGTACTTGAAGAAGACAGAAGAGAATGTTGAAATCGTGATGGATTATTATGAAGCAGTGAAGCAACTTGATAAAGAGCCTCTCTCACAATCAAAGGTTCTCCAATTATCTGAAAATTAAACCAAACGCACTCAGGAATTTGTTCTTTAATCATAATAGATTGAATGATTTTGAGTAATTCACCTGAAGAAGCTCATCATGGCTCAAGGTCAAAGCACAGGCGGGTAGATTATCTTTGATGACACGAATCTGAGCACTGGTTTCGTTACGCAGATTCTGAATTACTTGTCCACCTTTCCCGATAACGCAACCAATTTGGTCTGACGGCACAAGCATCCTCACAGTAACTGTTTGCTTTTCACCAAGATGATCATCATCATTATCAATGTCCGCCACAACCATGTCATGAACCTTGAAAAGAGCATCCAAAGCAGGGCAAACAAGCTCTCCGTCGTCCCCAAAATGATTCAACTCATCACTAGTAGAATATATGGTAACAACACGCTCCTCACACCCGGGCAAAGCCTCGTTGATCCTCATGTTTGATTTGGTCTCAGACCGTATCTGCTTTGCGATCTCACCGCCCTTCCCGATAATACTACCCGTCTTCTTCACAGGGCACAAGTAACGATACACAGTGTCTTCTGACCCAATAACATTATGATCTGTATCATCATGAAGATTTCTTCTCTTACTTCCTCCATTTCCAGTAAACTCAGATTGGAAATTAGATCTCTTACCATGGATGTTCCTCAGAGTACTCGCCATGTCAATAGTGACGACAAAGCGAAACAAATACTCGAATCACAATGCCGCAGGAAGCTGGACAAAATATGAGATTAGTTCCAAATTAGACTTTCATGCTTTCCAAGTAAATATTGTTCAGATGATAAATACACAAAACAGAGTCAGATGATTAAAATTCAACTCAAGTGATCAGATCTTAGCAACACATGTAAAAAGCTCTGAGTCTTATATTCGAATTTCTCACACAATTACTAAACCTGTAGCAGAATAATCTCAATCCATAACTATAATCCAGAGAATTTCCAACATTGATTCTCCAAGGAAATATCTTCTTAACCTAAAAACATCTTGACTAGGTCGGTCAACTATGCTAAATCAGGAAACAAATTACTCACGAAATAGACATTAGATCAAATCTCTACCCAGAAACTAGCTCTATACGAGAATTGAGCCACGAAAACCATCAGATTCTTACGAACCCAAATCAATCAAAGATCCATGACACATGACCGACCAAAATTCGTTCGAAACAGAATTTGGAACATGCAATACTCACCGGAGAAGAAAACAGTCAACGATCGGAGCTTTCACCGGTCGATCTCTCCGTCTTGCCGGAAAATGCAACCGCCTCTTTCTCGGCTTCTCTCTTCGCCTTCTGCTTGTATGGTGTTTTTGGATTTTTATGGGTTTGAAAGCAGAGAAATGCAAGTAATGGGGCTAACGTCTTTAAATATAAAATATCTGAAAAATTAAGCTTGACACGTGGCTTTTTAATTTAACTTTAACTGTTCTTAGGGACGTGACGGCACGTAATGTAACCATTATACAAGTACCTGAAATTAAAACAAATTAAAATAAGTATTTATTTCATATACAGTATTACTGTCTTCTTCGAAGATGATGACGAGATAATTATTTAAAACAAATAAAAAATTTGTACTGATTTTTCATCGTTTTACTTTGATTTGTGCTTCGAAGGTTAGTGATTAAACTGATTAGATCGTATTTTTGAATTACATAAATGCATTTGTATTTTTATGACCAAATTTTATCGTCACCAGCTACATTGAAAATAAATGTACAGCCATCGTTATAGTTTGGTGAACTAATTTTTTTTTTAATTGCTAACGACATTAATGATATTTCGTTAGTTTAGTAGTAGTGAGATTAACTCTATGTAGCCTAAGGCTTCGAATGGTGACAACGTTTTGGACGGTACGGAACAAGCGGTTTAAGAGGTGTGGTGCGGAAAAGAGTGGTTTAAGAAGTGCGGTGCGGTTCAAGTGCGGTGTAGAATAATGTTTGAATGGTGACGATAATAAGTGCGGAATGAATATTATAATTATTAAACTTTAATTAAATTTTTGTAACACTTTAAATTTTTCAAAAATAAATAATTTTAATATTAAGTGTTTAAATTGACAAAATATAACAACATAAAAATTTGCAGATTTTTTTAATTCCAAAAAAAAAAAAAAATGGAACGCACTTGAACCGCATGTGAAACACAGCTTATTGTAGACTTGTGCGTTCTCTTCATAAATTCTTTCCGCAC